CGCAGATCACGGAGCCTGTATGTATTGGGCCTCTCAGACGAGCTTTTAGTAGGAGATCATTATCAGTTACCGCCATTGGTACAAAGTGTGGAGGCCAGGTAACATGAAAGTAATTACCGTCACGTCAGGAGCCCATGAGCCCGAGCGAGCAACTCCCATACTAGGTCCATGTCACGGAGTTTTCACCGACCGGTTTGTTTAGATATATTTTAGAACACTTTTTCCCTCGAAAATGGAAGCTCCGCTCTGTTTATGAGCGCATTATAAATATAAGATGCGACAATGGAAAACTAAACGTGACTAATAAAAGGTCAAAAATGTCATTTTCAGGGGTTTTGGTTTTGCTGACTTGTTTGTTGGAAAATATTCGAAATTCGCGCGAAAACCGTTCTAAAAATAAACTGGTCAGTGAAAACGCCGTGACACGCGTATATGGAAGGTGCTCTCCCGGGTTATGAGCTCCGGTTACGTCTGTCCTTATACATTACATGCATGTGAAGTAAGGAGATTCAAGATCGTGTTTTATAAGCTTGGGTTAAAGAAGAAAATTTAGACGGATAAGGTCGGCGTAGATTATAGCGGTACGTTTAAAAGCTGCGCACCGCCATTTTCCGCAGACAGGTCTCATGAAAGGCCAAACTAAAGAAACTGAACTATGCGTAGAAGTTAATAATTATCATATACCTCGCCCTCAAAGGCGTCAAGCAATCTTACGACATTATTGTCGTTGCTTTTGAACATATTTTCCATATTCTTTGTCTTTAAAACTACATTCAGCTTTTAACTGTCCATGTTTTGAGTGGAGCTTGTTTGTTCGACAGAGAAGGGGGAATGGACGTGAGTTTGTTCAAAAGTCTCTCTGAGCGGCATCCCCATGCGGTTGTCAGCTTGGAGCATCAGTATCGAATGAACCAGGACATCATGAAGCTATCCAATACTCTGATATATGAGAACAGGCTCAAGTGTGGCACAGAACGTGTGGCACGTGCTGTGTTAGAACTACCTGAGTGGGATGAACTGCTCAGTTACATCGAGGAAAATACCACAGGTAAGACACGTTTATGTTTTGAATGACCTGGAAATATAGTAAATACCTTCTATAACGGATACTATATGTTCTCCCGCCTCCTTTCATTTACAGCTGATGACACTCAATGCTGTAACTGAAGGCTTTCAAAGAACGGGACACTTCTCTGAAGCAGAAACCTAAAGTAGGCCCTTTGCAGCTTTAGAGTCACATGGTATAAAAACACCTGAAGAGCAAGTGGTGCAAAGCAGGGACCTTTAAAAAAAAACTTAGCTTTTTTTTCTTGTACCACCACGTTTCATACCATTAAGCAAGAGGTTATTCAAAGTACAAAGAAAGTCAGTTTTACAGTTTGCCCAAATGGCAAGCTGCAGCTAACATGCACCAGCCCAACAGTCATTCCAACGAGCCCGAAAAAAAAATTGATGAGCGTTGATTGCAGTTCTTTTGTAATTTGAATTCCCCCCAAAACTTCATTTGCTCGTTTGGCAAGTTAAAAACAGAATTCACTAGCCCGATAGCAGAATCTACTAACCTCGGGCTATCTGACACCAGTTACGCTGTTATTGCACCATTTGACAGTCTAGCTACTAATGTCACATTTTTTTTTTCAACTTAACTTCATTCGCTTCTTTTCCGCCCAGCTCTCTAAACGACGGGTAGCAAAAATTGTGCTCACTTATTTCACAGTAACTGAGCTCTATGGAAAATAGGCACGCACCTTTCTCTGTTAGTCTCAAGGTTTTAGAATCGAAAGAGAGTTCACCTGCAACCTTCTTTATCTCCAGATACCTGGCTTCTTGATGCTCTTACACCAAGTTACCCTGTAGTGTTCCTAGACACTGACCAAGTTCCCGCACCGGAATCACGCTCCGAGCACCTTGTATCCAACGAGACAGAGGCCTTGTTAGTACATCAACTGGCCTTTGGACTATTAAAAGGTGGCCTACAGCCCGCATCATTGGGAATCATCTCTCCTTACAGGCACCAGCTTAAGCTTATCTCACAAGTGTTCCACAGGGACACCAAACAGCAGGAAATTGAAATCAACACCGTTGATAAATACCAGGGTCGCGTCCTTGGTGCGCAGTAACGAGCATTGTAATGTGGGAGATCTCTTGAGAGACTGGCGCCCGAGTCAACGTTGCTGTAACCCGTGCCAAGAGGAAGCTCATTCTGATTGGTTCGCTGAGTACGCTAAAGGGAAGTTTGTTATTGCAGGAGCTTTTCGACCTTCTGGAGAGAAAGGACTGGGTACAGATTCTTCCTCGCGGTGCGCACAATCTGATGGAGTTTATGGGAACCTCGTCCCACGCTACTCCAGTCAAGAGCTTAGAAACATCGAGGATTCGCTTCTAAAATTTGGACATCTAGCTAGCACTTGCTTCTTGGTTTCTTTATCTAGTTATTGGAGCGCGTCTCATTTAGTTAGACGAATATCAGATGTGGAATATCTGTGTTTTATTTTTCCTCTTTGCTGAAATTTCTTCTTCTTTAATAATACCTATAAACTTGCAATAAATTGTACGCTATACAAACTTTTCGGCTACAAAGCTGATAAAGAAGCAATGCAGCACTGTAGATTTGACTCTGAGTAGCCGACGAAATGTTTTCCATTTTCTTTATTGAACTTCTGACTACAACTACTCAATTTTTAAATTACTCCTCAACTTAAAACTAAGCGTATTTTAATCGGTTATTCGAAATCAGTGTGAACTTGAGTAACTTTTAAAATCCAATGCATGTAAACCGTTTTTGTCTATCATTTTGGAATAAGATCCTACGTAATTCCTGGCGCAGACTATTGCTCAGGATCATCAAGTGCGATGACTACCTTTCCATCGCCTCTATTTACGTCTTCTTTCTTTACCTGGTTAATCCCTCTGTTAAGTGACCCTCCCCCTCCGGCAATGATGACACGAGATTTTTTCAGGACACCCCCACCTGAAAACCCACCCCCTCCCCCAGGACTTTGAAACCCTCCACCCCCTCCCCCAAATCCACCATTTGCAGTAGAGAGTGATTTTCCCCCTTGACCCCCATTGTTAAAGCTTGAACCTCCACTGGTAATTTTTCCTGATTTGCCGTTTCCAATTAAACCACCTCCCGCCCCGGCTTCAATGCTTGCAGATGGGTAGCCCTCCACTAAAAGTATTCCACCATCTCCATTGACACCCCCACCCTGTGATCCATTTTCTGTAATTTGCCCAGGGTCCCCTACGTCGTAACTACTTGTCGGTGCACCACCACCACCCCCACCGCCTGCAATAATCAAAGGATTACCGGAATTAAGAACAACAAATGTCCCACCTCCACCTCCCCCAGGTAACGGAGAACCGATTGTTCCATTACTCCCCCTTTGCCCGATAAGAATTTTGACAGACGTTTCTTGAGTAAGATTAAAGCACCCCTTCATGTAAGCTCCCTTGCCGCCTGCCCTTGTAGAGGAACCCGAGTTGTTTTGCCTGCCAACAGCACCTGATGCTCCCCAGGCCTCTATGACGTAAGTTCCGTTCATTGGCACCTTCCATATTTGGATACCCTTCTGCAGCGTGACTTTGTGCTCAAGTGTTGTTCCCCGATATCCAGAAGTGTCCGACGGTCCTGTCCTTCCCCGGGCACCCAGCGTGGTAAACGTGAACTTGAAGCCTGACAATAAATGTTTGTTAGGTGGTCAGTAAGCAAGATGATTTTTCGAAAATAAGAAATTACTTTTCAGCGAAAAAAGTTAGAACTCGAACGGTACAATGCATACTTGTTTCCTAGAGAAACAAATCTACATGAGTCCCTCGATATTTCCTTTCTTGGCTAGGAGAAAATTCTGAGCGTATACTGGCTGCATCAAATACTAGTGATACTTTCTGTAACCAGGTGAAAAAACATCTGGTGCTCTTTTTGGGAAGGGTAAGGCTTTTTGGTGTCGGCTTCACCGCTTTTACTCAGCGCTTTGCGTGCCTCACGGCGCTTAGCACAGTAGCCAACAGCCCGCATTTTTGCACATGTCATGAACTACCCTGCGAGCAGAGGCTACATTTTCGCTGTGTGAGCTGACGTGCGAAACGTAGCCTCTGCCGACAACCGTTCAAATCCGTCCAGAAATCTGGACGAACAAGAAGACGCCCGAAGGCGTTTACGAGGGATGTGTGGGTGTAAGAAAGAATTACGGGTATGTTGGATGGCAATAGAAAGTTGAGTAGTGTATGCAACCAATGTGTGCAGGAGAGACGGAGATGTTTTGTTAAGGACTAATACACTAGAAGATGAGTTACACACAAGGCTTCCTTTGCTACTCAAAACAAAACTTACATCAACGTTACCACCATATATGTTAGGAGTATGGAGTAGTTCACTAAAATTTGCATTCCTTTACTAATGTCCTCAAAAAATGCACTTCCACTGTAATGTATCATACTTCCAATAACTACTGGGCTGCAAGGAAGTGCTCTAGGGAAAATTTCAGGGAGCCCTTTGGGCTCCCCAAGCATTTTTTAGCTGGGGTGCCCGGGCCTCCAAGTTGGTAGCCCAAATTAATAAATCAATGAGCTGTTAGTTAATTATTAAAAATCAAACAAATTATTTTCTTAACAAGTTAAGCAGAATTTTGTGAATATTTTTTTCATGAAAAATCACATCCCTTTAACCTCCTGAGCGTGCGAAAAAAAACCCGCATGTTGTCATATGAAAATAAGTTTTCGCGCCATATGAGAAACATGGACAACGCCGCCGAAGATTTCATGTTTTTTAAATGGAAAAGTAAATTTGGGGTCAAAAATAAGGGCACTATTCTTTTTACTAATCATTTTGATTTACGTTGAAAAGAAAATTCGCTTATTAAGATTGACTGAGATCCCGTGGAGCTTTCCAGGAAAACTGTGATTTCAACGAAACCGCGGCGCCCCCCGGGGGGTTACTTGCGTTAATTATTGCTGGGTATGTGCCGCTGGCCTCTCAGAGCCCCTACCCCATTATAGTCTTTTCTGTGGCCAATTGTAGACCCCACATTAGTCACTCTTGGGCAAATATGTAATTTTTGCGATCCCAGCTCAGTCACTTTCTATTTATGTATCTACCTTATCAATCCTTTAAATAGGTCATCAAAAAATGAATTGACCCATTTTCTAATAAATTGAATGAAGAACACTTAACTTTTCATCTACAGTACAAATATCCTGATACGTTTGCTACGTGATACGTAATGCCTTGTCACGACACGAAAGACAATGTGGGATTTTATAGATTTATACCCGATTCTAGAACAATCACAATTATACTAGTCGTCTCTTCTCTTTTTTATACATCGTATTTTACTGGAATAACAATCTTAGTTATGTTTTTTCCTCACAGACACAGCAGTAAAAAAAGGTAAAAATATTTAATTAACATAAAAGACCGACTCTCGTGTTTATTCAGCGATTTTTCAAAATAAAAAACTATTGTTTTGCGTCGCCGACCGTACTTTACGCCTGTCAGAGCAAAAGTAACAATTTGTTTTGAAAAACTAACTAATGAACCACCCTAATTTGAAGAAAAAATTTCAATGTTATTATGAAAAGCTGTTACTATCGAAAACTGTGCAGCTTGTCACGTTCATAGTCAAGGATTATGTTAGATGTGAATTCACGTGAAACGACCTTTGAACATCAACGCGTGCCCGCTGCCCGATTTAACAACATTTTCCTAAAGCTTTCTGATAGACATACTACTTATTGCTACTTACAAGTCGACCTCAAGAGTTTCTTAGCGAGCGGAGCGTTCTTTTTAGGCCGCGAAGCCACCGAGAGAGCTACGATTTCGCAAGTAATAAATTCTAGAATTCTTAGCTTTTTTACTGTAACTCAACAGAAACAAGAAACCAACACCAGCAAGTCGCCCGTCTGGGCCACCTGGACAATATTTTCAGTCACCCGAGGCCAAGTGTTGCGCCGTTAGATCTAGAGCACAGCCTTGAGTCTTCGTCCTCCTCTACGCTATAATCTTACTTTTCCCTTCTTTGCCGACGCAGTATCCTTTTTCTGCTTGTGCAATCCAACTTGACTTGCACGTGATTCGAAGTTGCAGCCAATAAAAATCACACAATTTTTTCAGGACGTGCTCGGGATACGGGAAAGTTAAAAAAACTAGGCAATTTTTGACTCCCAAGACGACGAAAGGAATGTGCTCCCGAATTTAAGACGCTGGCTGACTACGTCATCCCGCGTAATATATTAAAAAAACGGGTTTTTTCCTGTTCTTGACCGGTTTAGAGCATTGCGTGAGTCTTGCGTGAATCAGGGTTAAAACAATTTTTTTATTCCCGCGAAACTCGCGCCATTTGACGACAGACCACAGGTAACCCAGGCTCTGTGATAGTACCACAGTACCGTTCCAATAAAAATTACAGTGTTTGTATGGGGTAAAAATATCATCCTAAAATTCTAGGAAATACTAAATAAAGATCAATAAAACTTACTCTGCAGTTAATTGTTGTTGTCCTTATTGCTCCAACGAAGTTTCGTGATAATTTGCAGTAATTTGTTTAAATTCACTCTATCTACAATAATAATATACAAGGTAGGAAACACGAGGTGCCATTTTCGCCGACATGCTCTCATTCAACACAACTTTTTCCACGAAATTCGAACTCCAACGGAAAATAAACATGCCAGGATCGTAGAAATAGGATAGCAGCAGATATAAAGAAACCAATGAAGCTTTCCCAGATAGAGAAACGAATCCCACAGACTTTGACAAACTCGAAGAATATAATCCAAACAGACCGAGAATATGCTCGCCGAAGCAGCCGGGCCAGATCAACGCGCGGCCAAGAAAATGAGGCCTGGGCACTGTGCAAAAAAAAATCATCCTGGGAGTCCTGAGGTGACCTTTCTGGGCACCGATACATCATTTGCCCAAAGCCACCCTACCCTGCTGAAAAAATACTTAATAGAAGGCAATTGTTCTTCCTAGCCGTACCACCCTGGCCTGTTATAAAGAGATTATGTCCCTCTCGAACTATATTCAGCGCCTGGCGCTGGTCCTCAGAAAGTTTATCAAACATCAATAGGGCAAGGTTATAAGGGCAAAGGAAAGAACAACGAAGGAGGATTTACAAAACTTAAAACGAGCAAAAGATATAAGTGAATTTTGGCTCTTACCGAGGCATTTGTACAACAGGACCAAATTCAAAGAGAGGTGTATCACGATGATTCACATATTTAACCGATAGAGCGTTCACTTGTATCGACAAGAAGTCGGCGTGTTACTGCCGCAATAATCGCTAAATATGTTAATCGCGCTAGTTCTTTGTTTACTGGTGCACTTGCCTTTCACATTCGTCTCAGTTATCGCAATTCATATTCTGTCGCAATTTTCTGTATAATTTTTGACATTAGTTTGTAAGCTTCACCGTTTATTTACGATAGTTTCGCTCGAGAGTTCACAGCAACAGTATCTCAGTCATCATCTACCTTTTGTTCAACCTTGTTTTTAGCCCGCCTTGTAAGTATTTCGCGTTGTTATTTCATTAGTTTCATTACTGTTATTTGCATTCCTTGGTAAAAGAAATGGGGCACCTTGTAACTCCGCAGACTCTCCTGATTATATTAATTTTTTTTTTAGCTATTTAAATTTAGGCGCGTGTGCGGGGTTTGCTCTGGCAAATAGTGATTGGCTAGTAAGAACAATTACCTTCTACCAAGTATTTTTCCAGCAGGGTAGGGTGGCTTTGGGCAAATGATGTATCGGTCCCTAGAAAGGTCACCCCAGGACCCCCGGGATGGAATTTTTTTGTACAGTGCCCAGGCCTCATTTTCTTGGCCGCGCGTTGATCTGGCCCGGCTGCTTCGGCGAGCATATTCTCGGTCTGTTTGGATTATATTATTCGAGTTTGTCAAAGTCTGTGGGATTCGTTTCTCTATCTGGGAAAGCTTCATTGGTTTCTTTATATCTGCTGCTATCCTATTTCTACGATCCTGGAATGTTTATTTTCCGTTGGAGTTCGAATTTCGTGGAAAAAGTTGTGTTGAATGAGAGCATGTCGGCGAAAATGGCACCTCGTGTTTCCTACCTTGTATATTATTATTGTAGATAGAGTGAATTTAAACAAATTACTGCAAATTATCACGAAACTTCGTTGGAGCAATAAAAACAACAACAATTAACTGCAGAGTAAGTTTTATTGATCTTTATTTAGTATTTCCTAGAAATTTTAGGATGATATTTTTACCCCATACAAACACTGTAATTTTTATTGGAACGGTACTGTGGTACTATCACAGAGCCTGGGTTACCTATGGACAGACCTGACGATTAATTTTGTTTGCGAATCGTGTGACGAATTTCGCGCATGCACGATAGAAAATTGAACGGTTGTCGGCAGAGGCTACTTTTCGCACGCCAGCTCACACAGCGAAAATGTAGCCTCTGCTCGCAGGGTACCTATAGTAATACACTCATGTTCAAGAAGTTTTTAAGCCAGAGCAAGAGATCATATTAGAGCGGTTTTCACTTGACTGTCGTAAAACCAAAACCAAAGTAAATACACTAGCCAACCAAAGGGCGTAGTAAAACCAAAACCAAAACCAAAACCAATCCCTTTCGACAGTCAAGTGAAAACCGCTCTATGATCTGCTGGCCAGAGTTAAACCATCTTAACGCTTTTGT